AGATCTATATTATGCATTGACCAGTGGGCTACAAGTGCATAGCCTTGTCTTAACACAGGGGGTGTGTCTAGACTACAGAGTATTTTCGAAAAACTTCCCCCGTGTCTAGACTGCTGCCGTGTTCTTTTGAACATAAATTGAAAGAACCGTGGCAATTTTTTTGACTACAGAAAGCCTCATTTTATGAGGAATAGTGCCTTTTTTTCTAAAGTGCTCTTTTGAAAAAAGGTGCTATGAAATGCAAACTGTGCTTTTTTGAAAGAGAGTATCCAGACTGCCTGGGTGCTCTCTTTTGAAAAAAGCAGTTCGCTTTTTCTAAAGTACTGGCTGTAGTCTAGACGCTCTCTTTTGAAAGAGGCTTGTAGTCTAGACGTACCCTGGTAGCAGCAGAACAACTTAAATCATCTTGAAAGCAGACTTAGTTGAATGGGCATAGACACTTGCTTCAGCATACTTCCTCAGTTTAACAAGCGCTATAAACCAGATTTAAACATGGAGTTTCTTAAAAGTCTATGTAAAGTTGCACCAATTTAACTAAATCAGTTTATTTTAAACTTTTAGATGATCTAAAGGTAGAGTTGCAACTAGACCAGGCCCGTGAAAATGCATTTAACTCTCTAGATTTCAATTTGATGGTATTCCTTGAGGAAAAAAATTTAAGATTCTTATAAAAATGGGTGACTGTTGTGTTGATCTTAGAAGTGATATTCAGTGATCCCTTTAAATCAGTGGTCACCAACCAGTTGATCGGGATCTACCAATGGATTTTGGAGCCTCTGACAGGTGATCCTGAATGGTTTGGCTGGGAAGGTATCAAGTGCCTCCACTTCAGCTGCACCTCCCTCTACTGCTCTGCTGCTCCTGCCCAGAGCCTCAGTGCTGCCCCTTGGGAACCTCCTGTTTGTTGTGCAGGGTGTGGGAGACAGAGACAGGGGGCATTGATGTTGCTCTGTCCCGCTCCCTTGTACCCCATCTTCAAAGAGTGAGGAGGGCGGGTCCTTGGTGAAGGGGTGGGGCAGGTGCAGGGACTCATAGAGGGGGTGGGCCAGGGGTATTTGTGTATGAGGTAGATCCTGGACTGACTTAAATTCAAAAAATGATCTTGTGCTTAAAAAGGTTGGAAACCACTGCTCTAAGCTGTGTGGCAGCATGGCTTCACAGGTGATTAATCAACCCTGCCCAGTCAGCAGCTCAGGGCTGAGTGCATAGGGCTGACTGAGTGGGTGGGCTGATTAACCTCCTGGGAAGCTGTGCTCCTGCACAGTTTAGAACTGTGGTTCTCAACTGGTGGTCCATGGTGACTTTTTTGGTGGTCCACAGGAACATTGTCCAAAGTCACACAGCATGAGCAGGCACCGCCGTCAGGCCCGTTAGGCTGTTTTATGCTGTGTTCACAAGTAGCCAACGATACTTTCCAGAGGTGGACAGGACAAGGGATGGATTCTTTCATCAGGAATCCATTTACAACAGATGTTAATAGTGTTCCAGAGGATCTACAGGAGGAATTCTTGGATCTGATAAATGATTTTGCGGCTCAAGATGTGTACCAGCAGTCTTTCATAAAGAGATTTTGGGCCAGCGTGACCGGGAGTTACCCAAATCTATCAGCACACGCAGTCAGATTTTTTTTTTGCCATTTGCATCAACTTGTATGTGTGAGACTGGATTTTCATGTTTGTTGCACGTTAAGTCCAAACAGAGGAATCAGCTTGCAGTAGAAAGCAATATTCATTGTGCATTATCAAGTACCACTCCAAACACTGAAAAGCTTGTCAGTGAGAAGAGAATCCAAAAATCTGTTAGTAAGAAATACATTTCAAACCAAAATGTTCGTTGTCTACTCATTTCTATCGTGTCAAAAAGGAAGTGGTCCATGAAAAGTTTTTGATTGGCCTGATGGTTTGTGGACTGAAACGAGTTGAGAACCACTGGCTTAGAAGGACTCATAATATATTATTTTAAAACCCTCAACTCTTTAAGTTATCATATTTTGTGTATTTAGGGCAATAATAGTTGGTAATGTTCTGCTCTGGAAAATCCATTCAATAATACCAGCTCCTTTGTTTGCTGGCAAGACACATGTATTTAACAAGGTAATTTCCGAACATTAAAATAAATACACATGCTGTGCACCTTGACATTGTCTGACACACATCTTTAGCTCTGTGTTATGAGTTTGTTTTGCAACTAGAATATACAGTTGACTATAAACTGAGACCAAGGGTTTCCTCCTAGTTGGGTTTTTTTCTGGCAAAATTTGCATTGCATAGTTACTTAGGGCAAGTTTGTGGAAAGCCTGTCCACTGTGATTTATACTGAGTTACCTTCCTTGTTTTTCCAGCTTCTGCAGTTATATTACAGCACAATGTAAATACAGCCTTGTACATACTCTGATGTTTGGAAAAAAGCCTTTGCTAAGAGCAGCACTGTGTTCTACAAACATTGCTTCAGATGACTTACATTCTTTTACCTAGCTTATACTGAGACCCCAGTCTGTCTCTCATCAAAAACCTTTACAAAACTTTCATTGCGTTCAAAGGCTATTTTAGGTATCACAGCATCATTAATATAACTTCTCACATAAAATAACATTTCTCCCATATTTTTATATAAATAGGACTGTAAAAAGGCTTCTGTTTTCAATTCTATTTCTATAGAAGTAGATCAGCTATATAATTTTACAGACAATGACCATGTTAAATACCTGCTCAAACTCCATTTCAGTGCAGGCTTAGATCCCAACAGTCCACGGACAAATGCCTTGTGTGTGTATTTTAAACATCCCAGTAATGCTGCTTTCACCCTTTTCATTGAGAGAACATTACACATCCCCGTAGTTGTCTTTCTGGTGCTACATCTAGACTGCAGGCTTCTTTTGAAAGAAGCTTTTCCAGAAGAGATCTTCAGAAAAAAAAAACTTCTTCTGAAAGAGAGCACCCACACTGCCAAAGCACATCAAAAAAACAGTTAATTTATCTGCAGAAAGATAGCATCCACACTGAATGGACGCTATCTCACGTTTAAGCTGTGATTACTATGGACACAGTGGCCACCAGGACACCTGTGCTTTTTCCTCTTTCCTCTTCCAAAAGAACTACCTCTTCCCCATCCACACATGCCTTTTTCTGAAAAAGCTCTTTCGGAAAAAGGCTTCTTCCTCATAGAAAGAGGATTACTGATGCTGGAAGAACCCCTCTGTTCTTTCTATTTTCTTTTGAAAGAACATGTTTGCAGTGTGGACAACCGTTTTCTGAAAAAACTCTACTGTAGACCTACCCTGTAGACCTATCCTGAGTGTGATTTAAAGCCTATTGACTCAATTGGACTTTCCACTGACTTCAGTGGCCTTTGGATTAGGTCCATTTTACCTACATTTTCTCATTGCTTCTACAAGCTATGTAATCACTTTCCTTGCTTTAAATTATTTGTAGACTTTTGTGCACATTCCTCCACTTCCTACCCCCTTTCTCTGTACATCACTTTGTAACCAAGCTGTTGTGCATATTTAAATCTCCATTTTTTCATCTAGCAATCTCATCAGTCCTTGATCAATTCTGTTACTCTGTTCTGAATTTCCACTATTTGGTCAATATCTTTGCAGATTTGGGGAGCTGAGGAGCAGCTGGTCTCTATGGCATTTTCCTTTAGAGTCCAGCCTGAGCTCCAGTGTCAAACCTTAAAGTCAGAGCTGCAGTGACCAGCAATAATCTATCCTGTGTACCTGCAAATCTCTCTCTTCCATAGGGTCTATTTTTTTCTGCTACTGACAATAGGAATCCAGGATAGCTTGATTTCCAAGACCCATGTTGCCATACTAAAAGGGAGAGCTAAAGGAACTGAGCTGAGGCCTATAGGCAGTTGTTTGTGTTCCGTACAGCAATGTCTCCAAATCCACATGCTTTTTGGCTGCTTTCTAATTTGGAAGGTAGAACTCCTGACACGTGCTGAGGGATGAGCAAGAGGAGCTCTTATGATATTTCCAGGAATCTACATAAGGAAGTCCACGTAGGAGTAACATGTGACTCATAGATTTCTGTGCAGTGAGAATTCAAAGCATGAAATGCATCGGGACTACTTATATTAAAAGTATTCTAGGAATCCAACTTTTCCTGATTTAGCCAGTGTTTATCACCAGCTATGACAAAGAAATGAACTTTGTCCTGCTAATTTGTAGCGCTAAGGAAATATTTCATATCGTTCCCCAAAACAGACATGGAATCAGTGACATGGGAACAAAACAAACCTAGTTGCTTTCTCATCTTTCTTGTCCTACATGTGCATGCACACGCACACATGCACACAATGCAGGGTAGGGAAATTAGTGCAGGAACAAGTCTATTTTATTGCAGTGAGTTAATGTTGGTGTCTTTAGCTGTTTATTTAGGAACTTTTGGTAATTTCTCAGCTTTAAATGCCACAGTCTTCCTAACACAGGCGATTCATGGTAGCACCCAGAACGTTTTGTGCCCCTGTGAGATGGGGTAAGTCTCCCCCACACTAAGCCAGAAGTGGTAGACTCCCCTCTGAGGGCCAGAGAGGCCACACCCTCAGTAGCCTGCTGGGCATGCTCCCACTGCTCAGGTATAAAAGAGGGCTACTCAGGGCAGATGGGGCTGACCACTGGAGAGGAAGGATCCCAGGCAGGAGCTCCTGGGCAGCTCCTGCAACCAGAGTTTCAAGAGCGTAGCAGTTGCAGCCACCTCCGCAGCAGCACCAGGCACCACAGCAGACACAGTGACAATGCCGGGCAAGGGAGTCACCAGACTGGGAGTGACCACCGGAGCCACACGTGGAGGACAGTGCGGTGCACCGGTAGGGGTAGGAAGTGGCCCAGGGCAAACGATTGTCCTTCAGGAGCTCGGCGTGTTCTGGCAAGCATCCCCACCGAGCAGGCACCGAGAGCATTCGCTGCCAACAGGGCCCTGGGCTGGGACCCAGCAGAGTGGGAGGGCCCGGGTCCCCCTATAGCTCCACCAAACCGTAAACCAGCTACCTAAATTTAGAGGAAGCTTACATGGCAAATAGGCCGTAAGCCTGTTTGCACCCGGAGGGAATGAAACTGGGTCTGTGACTAGGCCTGAGGGGCCGTAATTACCCTAACGGGTACACTAGGCATATGACTAGGTCCCAAGGGCCGTAAATAGCCTAATAGGGGCTGTTCTGTTGTGGTGTTTTAGACGCTGCTTGTAATTATTAGAACTGGGAGCATTGGCTGTTGGGAGTCTGGAAGCACAGGAAACAGGAAGGAGGGGGGAGAAGATTGGCATGGGCTGAGTGAGAGCTACTGAGGGATGCAGCAGCTTTGTAAAGAGGCTCCACTTTTGGTAAATAAAGTCCTGTTGAAGTTTGTTACTACCTTGCTTGCATGATACAACATCTGTGTGGGGGAGCAACGAGGGGCGCCCTGGCATTAGGGCACCCCTGTGACACCCTGCCAAATTGTGGACTGCTAAATGAAATGCTTCCTTATGCCCCCTTTCTGTTCCTCTGGGTAGCCATCCCTGCACCTCCCTTTCCCCACCCCCCCTCCTTGCAGGTACCAGTTACCTAAGTTTGATGCTTCAGTTTGAGGCTTTCCTTGGCACCTATAAAACAAATAAAAATGGCAGATGATATCACTTTCTACTCTTAATTAGACTGGACTGAATTAGCTGAATATGAATATTCAGTGGGGTTAGAAGCTAGGATACATTCTTCCAGAGTCTTGCTGATTGTACCATCTATTTTATAAGGGCCAGTGGGCAGAAATATCGATACTGTAACCCTTACTACACTTCTTATGCATCGATCTCAAAGCATTTTACCGAGAGAGATGTGTCATTATCTAATCTTATATTAAGGATGAGGAAGTGCCTAAAATACCTATGAACTTCAAATCTAACATGACAAGTTTTCTACTTTTCTCATAAAAATAACTCCTCTGAGATGTTCTCAAATCTTAATAAAATGTGGGGTGTTAATTTGTGTTGGCTTGCAAGAAATACTTGATAAATTTGGTTAGGTAATGACCAATGGAAGCATTCACAAGAATGGCACCATCACAATGCCCATGTATATTCTGATCTGATATGAACATCTTTTAAAGTCCACAGTTAGCCAGGAGTGATAACTTTTTTCTTTGCGCGCCACCTATGTCACATGTAACTCAGTGAACTGAAGGTAAAAAGTGCAGGATAAACCAGTCCTCTCCAGTCTAGCATGTATCTATATTAAAAGACAGCTGCAGACAGAATTCAGTGCTGAAGTGGTCTTTGTTTTTGGCACTCTCCAACTGACAGTCCATCTTCTGCTATGCTCCTTTCCTCTGTAATCCTTAGTCTGTGGAAACCAACCCTTGACTAATTAAGAGTTTAACTTGGAATTTCAAGTTATACAAGACAAAATCTTAACTTTTTACAACAGCTTCAAGACTTAGCTTGGGATCAGAACAGAACATCAGACATTCTATCTGCACTATCTGTATAGCTTGAGGCAATAGTTTGTTTTTAGAGCACTCAGCATGCACTTCACTGGGATCTGGCGCACAAAAAAAAAAAAAAGGCCTGGGACACATCTTTTACAACAAGACCTTTCTCAAGGTGCCTGATGGTGGATTGAAGTAAGTTTGCAATAAGAAACTAGACTGACTTAAAAATCAAGTTTTTAAATGCAACACATATAGATATTGGTAATCCTGGATGGTGATGTTTCAACACGTTCTTGACATTATGATGAAATACTCCTAGTTTTCAACAGCAAGCTGATACATCTTTGTAAACAGGGGAATGCCTCAAAGTTCCTATGAAAGAAGAACATGTGAAATGGGATAGTGGCGCACTTTCAAAGGTTTGCAAAGTCATGAAAAAATGCGGATAAGCACATTATCCTTCTCAATGTACAGATGAAGAAATTGAATCTAGGAGACATTAAATGACTTTCCCAAGCTCTCTTATTAAGTTGGGCCACATCCGCTCATGGGATGAGGAGGGAGGGAGGCAGTTGACCTGGGACTTGGTGATTTTTTTTCAAATGGGCTTGGAGTTTGAACCCTTGGCCCTTTAAATTACCCCTGGAGCCCTAGGAAGAGTGCTCCAGGCAGTACTGGGGGCTGGGTGGGAGGGTAGGAGTGCGGCACAGTCTGGGTGGTGCTGAGGTCTGGCTGCCTCAACCACACCCCTTCTGCTCAAGGTTTCTGGGAGCATGTCCCCAAACCTTGCATAGGGGCCCAGCAAATCTGTCAGCCCCCCTGTGTCAGGCTGCTGTTGAGAATAAAGCTTCTGTCTACTGAGGTACAATCCAGTCTCTAGGCTTAGAGACGAATGAGTTCTCAAATCAGAGAAATAACAGTTTTCAGTTGCAAAGTAAAAACCATGTGTATACCAATGAATGCATGAGTCGCCATTCCTTTATGCATCTAGGCTGCATTAGAAGCTCTGAAATGGGTATTATGGAATGAAAGTGCAGCTTCAAACTTCTAAGTAGCAATAAGGAAGGAGATTGATGCTGATTATTCTTTTTCTTTCCCCTTTCTCACGAAGCTCCATGTACTATCCAATCTGGATATTTTAAATACTGGTAGTTAGAATATGGTTTTATGATCACTTCATAAATCCAGTTCGCTTTTCTTAACTTGCTGAACAAGATTTCTTGAAATTGTTTTGAGGGGAGGGGCATATTGTAACACTTTAATGGGATACTTTGATGATCAAACTTCTGTCAAAAGAAATTTTATGTCAATGAGCTGTGGGTAAGTAACAAAAAATACCTGGGTTTTATTCTTGGCTCTGTTCTACTTTCTGTGACTTTATGGAAACCACTGAATTTTTGTGCCTTAGATCTCTGTGTGTAAAATAGAACTAATTCATTCTGGACTCTCAATGATGTTGAGGCTAAATTCATTGAGAAGTGCATGGATAAATGCTATAGAAAATGTTACCAATAAATACATTTGGAATTACAGTAAATATTATACTGTATTAGTGTATTTGTACTATTTTAAATTTGTTTTGAAGTCCTAACCTGTTAAAGAACACTTGAGATCATTCAAACTGGAAGATTGTAAATTTTCCCCCTGCTATTTATACTGTTTGTTAAATTTTTGAATTTCTCTGAGCTCAATAGACCAGTCAACTTTACACCTGAGTGAATTTCAGTTTTATTCGTACATTAACAGTGTTGCAATGTTTGAGCTCTTAGATGTGACATTCCCCAAGGTACAATCTGGACTGTTGAACAGCTCCTCAACTCTCCAGTCTGGGAGCACCTTTTACAGTGCTTGGCTGCCAGCCACTCTTGGCCTCTAGCATGCAAAACCACTCCCAGCTGAATAAGTGCTTCTAACCAACCACTCCTGATATATATATTATAGAGCGACACCAGCAAATTCCGAGTCCCAGACTTGTTCCCAGAAATGTGTATTTTTGTATTGCCCAGCTTTTTCCATCCATTCAGGCCAAGCTCAGAGCAAGTCCATCATTTCATTAGAAAAAAAGGGTATTCACAAACTCCATTTCTCAAATGGAGGTTCCCAAGCACTTCAATCTAAACAAAATGGCTTAAATAAACCAATGGAACAAATGTATTTACTACAGATAGATTTTTAAATGATTATATGTGATAAGACATAAAAGTCAGAATTGTTTCAAAAAAATAAAATGTAAAACACAAACTAATACCTAACTTATCAATATCTAAGTGAATTCAAAGTGAAGATTTCTCTCTCTATGGGTTACAGAACTCTAGTTGGATCTTTCAACCAGGACCACTCTCCCAGTTCAATTATTCATTATTTTTCAAACACTGATGTTGTAAATAGGGATGACAGGAGAGAGGTGACTTGTTTTCTCTGTTTTACCTTCTTACAGCATTTCTTTTCTTTAATAATCCTCTCCAGCTGTGGTTCAAGGGTCAGCAATTCTGTAGGCCAAGATGTAAATTTTGCACCCACACCCTTTCTGCTCAACCTTGCTAAGGTGATGGCTAACCTTTTGTCTCTGAGGAACTGGTCTGTGCCTGCTTTGCTGACCATATTTCAATATCATACAGTAAAATCTACTAACTTTACATAGTGTTCCTACTCGCATTTTTCTAGTAATGCTCCGTAGATTGAGTTTTCTGATGATACTTCCCAAGGTATACTTTGTACAAAATGTACCATGGTCTTGCAAAAGTGGCGAATGTAAGGGAATTGTGTATGATACAGGTGCATGTTTATTTGTTCAATAACTGTTTCATAGGGTTTTTTTTTAAAAAAAAAATTCCAATCACGGGTAGGTTTTGTGTAAGTTTCTTCCAAAACCTATGTTGGATTCAATTTGACATTTCACTGGTCATTTAACTGCAATGAGCCAAATTAAGTATGACACGAGCATGAGTAATGCCTGTCAGAAGCTGGGGAAGCCTATGCTGTGTGGCCTCACGCCTTTTTTTTTTTATTTTATTTTTTTTTTGCCTGGAAGGCCCTCTGCTGTCCTGCCCTTCCCCTTTGGTCCCATACCAGGCTGGCTGGCTGGCTGCTCCTCTTCAGAGAATCATGCTGGCTAGGAATTGGGCATAGGGCTAGGGTGGCTACAGCTGACAAGGGAGAGACCTCAGGTGGCTGGGGCTGCTGGAGCCATGTAGCTCAGTGCTTGGATATTAGTGGTTCCTGGGGCTGTCTCCCTTATGCTCCCTTTGATTTGGGGGGACCAAGCACTGTCCACCAGTGATCAGATGTCTGGAGAGCTGTGTACCACCCACCTGGAACACTAAGGGGAGGTCTGGCAGCTGCAAGGGTGTGTGCACTCTGGGCTCAATCGGGGGTGGGGGTGGAGACTAGCCACCCCAATCCAATGGGTCATCTGCCATCCGTGGATGTAAGATTGGTCAGATGTGAAGCTGGATATTAGTCTATTTTGATGATGTGACTTGGTTAAACCTTGTCATGGGTTCAGTTAAACCACACTGAAACTGATGGATGTGAATGTGTGCTTCATTTAAGACATCTATAAGAGACAAAAGCATAATGGAGTCTGCCCAGAGATTTGCACTGCTGGGCAGAGGGGCTTAGCTGAGTGTTTGTATGGCTAGGTGGAACAGACTCTGCACAAGGAATGATGCCTAGTGACAGAGAGAGCGTGTAGAGATAAAATCAAGCAGAGACAGCCTGAAAGCAAAGCATCATGGCCCTTAACTTAAAACTTAGATCAATCTAGCTATGTCACTCAGTGTTGTCTAGCCTCATAGTGTTAAGTCAACCTAATTCCAGGTGTAGATGCAGCTGAAGAATAGAAGAACATGCAGGGTGAATAACTGGACTACAGGTCTATTTAAACCATATTCCTTTCAAAATGCAGCAATATTTCCAAATCTATCTATTAATAAGCTAATCTTATTGCTGAAATCTATAGTACGGATGTAGGAAAGCAAAGAGGAAAACAGTAAAACACTAAATCTATGGAGCATCATGTTTAAAACTCCTTTGCAGTGGACCTTAATTTTCTTCACCTGCCTTTACCCTACCTAATTTTGTGCTGCTCATCATTCTCCCACCTAGCATGTGTTTCTTCTATGTAGTTAGCAAAATAGTACTTCACAACATGAGGAAAAAAATCAATATTAGAGGGATACCTCTTAGCCAGAACCTAAATGATTTTAATGTGTAATAAAGCATCACAGCTTGGTTTAATAAGGAAGGACTTCACCTTTGTCAGAGATTCCATGAGACTGTTGGTTTCAGAAGCCCAACCCAATATGTTCTATTTGCAGCAATTTTCCCAGTTTCCTTTACAGATGGGACACACTAGAGTAGTAGATTGACATTACTACATTGTTCGAGGATATAAAAAATCCACATGGTAAAGTTAAGCCAATTTTAATCTGTGTAGTCTGTGCTAGATGGATGGAAGATTTCTTTGGTGCTAAACTCTTGAAGGTGGATTACCTCAGAATAATTCATTATTGCAAATGTTCTTTGTTCTACTCTTTCTCCCTTGCTTCTTTCCAGATCTTGGTACTACAAAATACACTGGGGAGTCTGTATAGCTTGCTATAAATATTTGAAGGGAACAGATCCAATGTTTAAAAGCCTACCTGATCATATATAAAGGAGCACTTCAACAGGAAAAGAAAAGCAAAACTGCAACCCTTAAATACTTTGTGTTAATGAGGTACAATGTAATGGGATCTTCAGATCTATAACTCAGGCCATTCACTGAGGTATCTAATGGATTTAGGTGCCTAAAATTAGGTACTTAATTTTAAACAGTGGTTTAGGAGACTAGTATAAGGCCATATTGTCTAATTTGCAGGAAATTCTTTACCACTTTCCTATAAAAGTTACATGATTTTATCAAATGCTATTTTAAATAGGTTTGGCTATTCTTGCCTTGATGTTCACCACATAAATTAGTTTGAAACGCTGAAAAAGACACACAAAACAGGAAAGAACTTGAAAAATACATCATATGAATTTAAAAAGCTATAGATATTGTAAATGTAAACCTTTTGGCTAGGTCTACACTGCACTGTTTTGTGCAAGAAATATGCAAATGAGGCAACATGTGAAATATCGACATGCCTAATTTGCATAAATAATGAGCTGCCGCTTTTTGCACAAAACCCCCTCTTGTGCAAGAGCCCTTCTTCCACTTTTTTCAGGAAGAATGGCTCTTGCACAAAAAGTGTATGCTCATTAATTATGCAAATGAGGCGCGGTGATATTCCACGCTTCGCCTCCTTTGCATATTTCTTGTGCAAAACAGCACAGTGTAGACATAGACCTAGGGAAGAATTTAAACTAGAAATTCTGGAAGCCTGAGGTCTTCATATGGTATATCGATGTAGGGTGGAATGCAGATATTGGCCTTAGCTATGCACATTAAAATAAAGGCAACACTAAGTCCATCTGTGATTGCCGTTCACAAATGAAAGTGTCACCTCAAACGTATCTGCTCCTAACTTCGCTCACCTCTCTATTCTGTTACAATATAGTATTTAAACAGCTCAGCAATACAAATGTGTTGGTTTTACCTGAATGACACCAAAAAAGCTCACTAATAAGGAATAAAACCTATAAAATCCTCCCTTTGGGAATTTACATTCTGCTCAATACAAGTAATTATCAGTCTGTTAAATAACTTTAACACTACTATTACTGTAGCACAGTGTTTCTCAAACTGTGCTCCGTAGAGCCCGAAGGCTCTGCGAAACATCTCCAGGGGCTCCGCGAGGTTGACAAACTGGAAACATCAATAGATACAACACATACAATCAGTGGATCGCTGTGGCTCCACAAACATTTTCATGCATGTAAATGGCTCTGGAGACCAAAAAGTTTGAGAACCGCTGCTGTAACACAAAGATGTTGAGTATGCAAGACTCATGATATGGTTTTGGCCCACAAGAGAGGTTTAGCTTTGCATCACCAAAGAAACGGGTGAAAGTTTAAAATTGATCTCTATTGAATTTCTTATTTTGGGCCCTATCCTATCTTCCTTGTCACCCCTCCTCCCTCCCTGATTTCAGAGGGAGTTTGAGGTGTGCAGAAAATGCATTTTGGGCCCCTTTTGCATTAATATGCATGTACAAAGAGCTAGTGAACATTTTGGAAAGGATTTATTGAACGTCACTTTGAACTTGCTTTGGAAGCTTTTGTATTTATTTCCACTGACTCTGTCCATCCTCATCTGCTTAGCTGATGATAAAGATCTTTAATAAGAGGATAATTGTGTCTACAGTAAAGCTGCTGTGGTATGCAACTGAAGGGGGATTTGTTCCAGCAGCATGAGTTTTATTTGCCGGCTGCTTCCTAGAGACATCCAGGACTGCATAGAAACCAGTGAGAATGCTTTCATTTTTTCCCCCTTTGAGAGCATGTCTCCGGCTATACTACTATCATTTTCTTTGTATTCA